TTTCTGACAACAACACCAATTGACTGGCCGTCACAGTATAAGATTTTGTAAGGAGACGTGATTTGGCGCGCATTTTTGGAGGTAAAAAATCTTAGATCATTTTCGATTTCATTTGAGATGACTTAGCGGTCGATTTGAGATTTTGATAAAACGCATATATGGTAGCCTTCCACCATCATGCGCGCACTCGCTTCGCTGCTGCGTCGGCTCGCCTTCAGTAGACTGAGGCCATACTGCCCCAATCTTTCTCGGGAGAGTAGCTCGTACATAGCAAGCTAGTGTTGCATTAAAACGATTCTTTAAGATACTCTCCGTTGTATCTGCGTTCAAATTTTATGAAGTGAGTCGTAACGCAAAAAGTAACTCAACGGTGATAACGGCTTCTTCTCGTTGCCGATCATCGTCGTTTGATGTTGCGGCTTGTCTTCGTGAGCTCTGACATAGTCCACTTCCCTATAAACGTGCTGGTCAATCAACTTCCAGCTACCAGTGACAGAATGAAGCCGACGTCCTGCATCCCGCAAATGGACTGGCATGGCGCCACGCGCCTCGACGCCGTGCGCGCATTTGCTGGGTTGTAGGGCATCTCCGCTGTCGAGTTGATCTCGCCTCTAGTCAGTCTGTGATGCCACTGAGGAGTGAGCATTGCACATCTCACACAAGAGATGCTCGAACAAGAAAAGAAAATCGAGCTTCCATAAGCAGTTGCTTATATAAGCAGTTTGCAGTTTTTTATCGAGCGATACAAGTTCCAGCCACAACTTGTTCTAATGAAAAGTAGTATGGGGTCTCTGCTGCTGATTAGATTTAGCAAACGCAAAAAAGCGTGTAAAACTCAAATCAAGCAGTTTGCAGTTTTTTATCGAGCGATACAAGTTCTAGCCACAACTTGTTCTTTATGAAAAGTTAGATTTAGCTAACGCAAAAAAGCGTGTAAAACTCATATCAAGATTGCTTGTATGACCGCGGATGCGGGCAATGCTTCTCGCACCGTCAATTTGGTGGTGACTCAGAAATGGTCCGGCCGTTTATCCGCTATCAGTCTCTCCGAACTGAAGACCCTCGACGGTTGGCAAGACAGCTAGGCGTACACTGTGGCCCTCTTCGACTACATGCTGCCCGCTGCGCAAGCGTTCCACCCCGGCGGCTTCAGCAAGACAACGCATCGATCCACGTGGGCCGTGGGGCGCGGCAGTGGCGTACCGACTTCGAGAACTACGTTTTGGACTGGCCAGCCCGTTCACCCGACGTCAACTCGATTGACTTCCTATGGGTCATCGTTGTGTGACACGACATGTCTACGCCAATGATGGGAAGATTCGGGACCGACAGAGCTTTATTTCTGCGATCCTTGAATTTTTGGAAGACATCAAGCAAACAACCCCAAAAATCCTGGTAGCGAGCATGCCCAACAGGTAGGCAGGCACCTGTTGGGCATGCTACATATTGTAGCTCGCAGACATTTTCAACAAAGAAGTTTTGGGCGAGTTATGGCCTACCTCCGGGTCATCGAATTACAACAAAAGCCAAGGCTCCAATTCGCACAATCTAATCGTTTTGCTTGGAGGTTTCATCTAGGCTTTATTGAGTGAAGTGTAAGTGTTGGTTGGATTTGACCAGACTCGTAGCCTTTACGCAGTGACATTTTTGAAATGGAAGTAACAATTCAATTTCACGGGCAGCGACGTTCCTCGCTAGAGGTCAAGGTGTCTGCTTCAAGCGCACATGAGCTCACGCTCACTGGAGGCGACGAAATCCACAATTTCGAGGGTGTTGACCGTTTAGTTTGCGTGGAGCTTGCAGATCTTGTCGCACAACCTCGGCTACACAGCATCGTGACAAATAACATGGTCTACAGCATCGTGACAAATAACATGGTCCAAACGCGCACGCCGGAGCGATGCGTCACGGATGGCGTTTTAAAGCGTCGCTATCAAAAGCCATTCTGCAGGGAGACGTGCAATCCGACCTTGCTTCTCAAGTACCGGTACAGCTGTCTATCAACGCCGGGTGTGATCGAGCTTCGCATCTGTCAAGTTTCTCTCCATGTACATCCACAAGGGTTACGCTCGCATTGCGTACCGCGTCGGTGACGTTATCGATGAGGTCAAGCCGGGCGGGGCGTTACATAGCGGTCCACGAGGCTGCAATGCGTAACGTTATAATGGAAGTCCCGATGATGCGATCCTCGCACAGTATCGTGCTGTTTGCTGCACGCGAGGAGGGCAAGCAAGCAGTGCGCTTTGTGCCCAACGCTACCGACGGCGGCACGGGGGCGCGAGTTCTCAGCAACCAACGAACGACGCTCACGGCCTTTTTTGCGCTTTGTCTTGCGAGAATTCTCGACGACGGCAGCGTGTCGCCGAGAACGCTACTTTACAGCGAGATTTGTCACTACTACACGTGCAAACAGGAAACGGTGGTCATTGGTTACCTCGCAAGTGTCAAGGAAACTGTGCTCTCAGCAGAATGTACACCGTTTCCCGAAAGGAAGGCGAGCGGAATTTCATACAAACGCTTCTGTATCATCGGCGCGGTCCTACCGGTACGTCGTATAAAGATCTGCGTATCGTGAGGTCATGGAAGCTGACGTCTTGGATCCTACTCGCGACCGTCTGCTCTAGATCGTGAAGTCCTACGACCGCAAGGACCTACAGAGAACGCTGGAGAGCCTCCCTATCGCCAACCCGCAGCAGCGCGCTGTCTTCGATGCCGCGTGCCGCGAGCTTGACCTGCCGCCGAGCCAACAACGACGCCAATCTTTTTCTGCGCGGCGAGGGCGGCTCTGGAAAGAGCATTGTGTCCAACCTTCTGCTTGCATGGTGTCGGTCCAACAAATGCGTCGCGATTACCGTTGCATCTACGGGTCTCACTGCGCTTACCCTTCACGATAGTACCACTGCTCACAAGCGCTTCAATATCCCGTTGGCGGTCAACGCCGACACGATCCTCAGCGTAAGAAAACAGAGCCACCTCGCCGCGTTGCTTCGCGAGGCCGACCTCTTCGTCTGGGACGAGTGCTCGATAATTCACAAGGTCGCCATTGACGCCGTCGATCGCATGCTTCGAGATATTTGCTCAGAGCCGCATCGACGATTTGGCGGCAAGAGTTTTCTTTTCGCGGGTGATTTCAAGCAAACTTCACCGGTCATTCCACGTGCTTCACGCAAAGAATTGGTTGAAGCTTGCTTAAAGCGAAGCGATGCCTGGGTTGTCATGTTTACTTTCCACCTCCTCACCAACATGCGCGTTCTTGGACATGATGCGCCGTTTACAAACATTTTACATGCCGTCGGCAACGCGTCTTGCGGCCACGATCAGGCAGCACATGGCAGCTTTGGCGGCGAGTACATCCGCCTACCCGAAGACATCGTCTTCGTCATCGACTCCCCGTATGCGCTTACCGACTTGGTCAATTTCGTGTATGGCATAGAGTCACAGGGCTCACCCTAGTACTAAGTGTACCCAGAGCTTCCTTCGATCCCCATTAATAAGCTGCCAGCGTACCTTGCTCAACGTGCCATTTTGGCGCCAAAAAACGACGTCGTCGCTTCGGTCAACGCCACGGTACTCGTGCTAGTGCCGGTAGCTAGCGATGTCGCTTTCACACCTCACATCACGCTCATCAACGACGGTCCGCACAACACGCTGCAGTTCCAACTGAAGCGTCTACAATTCCCAGTTCTTCTCGCATTTGCGATGATTTTAAACGAGTCGCAGGGTTAGACGGTACCTCGAGTTGGCGTCTATCTACCGGAACCAGTTCTCGCGCACGGACAGCTCTACGTCGCGATGTCACGCGTTCAACCGCGTGGCATCATCAGAATCTTGGCTCTCAACTCGCAGTCGAGTGGGGACGGACGCACGTACACCAAAAACATCGTCTACGAAGAGGTCGTTGACGGTACCGACCAGGCCATACCAGGCACTACGCTACCATAACAAGGATCGTGCTTAGCTGCATGATAACCATTTCACCTACTACATCACCGCAAAAATGTGGCCGTTGGACGACTGGGCTCACCCCTGCGTTCACAGCATGCGTTCCACAACGCAACACACGACGGGTTTGCAACGCCCAGTTTAATTGCACAGCAATTTTACTCATGCATGCTACAGGGCTTTCCTATCGAATAGATATGGCAGGCTCAATGATTCTGTACCGGTACTAGTAGCGCATCGCATTGGTCTATTCGGACATTGTTGTTGAACTGAGTCATTACATGCTATTATAAAGATACGGTGGACTTTCTAATGCGCTCGTGAGGCGTGGCTGGTACGTCGAGAAGCATTAGTGGTCGTGATTCAGAACTGTGCGAGGGACCAGGTAGCGTGCACACCAAGGGTCGTCTCGGAAAGCGACCAGTGACGCGTCACGAGATGGCACCACAGCGCGACAAGCCAAGTGCCGGATATGCAGTCGTGCGATAGTAGCTGCCCGAATCTCGAGTACAGCAGCGGGGAGTTGCGTCAGCGTCGTGCGAAAGACACGGGTGTTGCGTGGGAGCCAAAGACAATATCAGACGCAAGCGCGCAGGTTCCGCCAGAGGGCATAAATGGACGACTTGTGGGCCGATCGCGGCGCGGCGACAGCGTCGTAGAGAAAGCCAGCGACCGACGACGGGAGTCGCATCTGCAAAACGCCCCGCGGCGGTGCAAAAGCGCGCCAGATCGCGCGGACGTATGGGCAGCGCACCAAAAGATGGTCGTACGTTTCGCGCGCTTGCGCATCGCAGAGAAGGCAGTGTCGAGCATCGGGGCCGAGAAAGTGCAAGCTGGATCGGACGGCCACGACTTTCAGCGCGACCTAGTACACGAAGTCACCGTACCCCGGAAGGACCTGTGCTGGCTGCCGTCGAGGTACAAATGAGGCCGATCAGCCTGGTTGCTCGTAGATATTGGATTTGATTGGCGCAATATACTATATTTTTGACCAGTAAAACGTGGCGAAATCCTTCGCGCCACGGTCGGCCCACAAAAAGCACTTGAGCGGCCACGAGATGTCGACCTCATTCGAAGCGCCGTGGGTCGAGAAGTACCGGCCAACGACACTGTCACAGGTCGTGGGCAACAGCGAGACTGTTAGTCGACTCCGTGTCATCGCGCGCGAGGGCAATATGCCCAACATCATCATCAGCGGCCCGCCGGGCATTGGCAAGACCACGTCCATCCTGTGTCTCGCGCGTGACCTCCTTGGCGATACGCTGATGAAGACCGCCGTGCTTGAGCTGAATGCTTCGGACGACCGAGGCATCGACACGGTAGGCATCGACACGTGTGCGAACGCACCTTCAGCGTGCTCCACCCCGTAGGTCCGCAACAAGATCAAGATGTTTGCGATGCAAAAGGTCACGTTGCCGCCCAACCGCCACAAGATCGTGATCCTCGATGAAGCCGACTCGATGACGACGGCCGCGCAACAGGCACTGCGCCGCACGATGGAGGTCTTTAGCGCAACGACGCGCTTCGCGTTGGCGTGCAACAACTCGACCAAAATCATCGAGCCGATACAGAGCCGCTGCGCCATCTTGCGCTACACGCGGCTCAAGGATGAAATGCTGCTCGAGCGCCTCGTCCAAGTATGCGACGCGGAAGGAGTTGGCTACAGCGATGACGGTATGGCCGCCCTCATCTTCACGGCGGAAGGCGACATGCGTAATGCGCTCAACAATTGCCAAGCGACACACTCGGGCTTCGGCTTTATCAGTGACGCGAATGTCTTCAAAGTATGCGATCAGCCTCACCCAACGACGGTCAAGTCCATCGTCG